GGGGATGCCCGGTGGCCGAGGGGAAGACGTGTAGTGGCGTGAAGCTAGGCGATTAGGTGCCGTACGCGAGCGCCGGTTCGAGTCACGCACGCAGTACGTATTTACTATAATTAGACATAGTCTTTACCTTGCCGTTTATTCGGTGTTATTTGCTTATTTAAGTATAATAAGAACATGTCTTTGAGGGTGTATTTCAAGGAACTGTTAATAACTTAGAATTCGTCTTTGAATATTTCACAAGTACAGGACATCATATGGCATCACATAAGCAAATTACATCAAATGCTACTACAACATACTGTGGCCAGTCTGAGATTTTATCAATGGAAACTTGAGGTTTCCTCAAAATCGTGTTTGATAAATAAGGGTAAGTTCCATTCATCTTGCGGTATTCGTTTACGGCAATTATGATGCGATCTGTATTAGCACTGAATACAAATGTATGATCCTTGGTTCATTGTCTAGAGATTTATATAGTTTAAATAACACAACGTAAAGTTGACGATATATGTTGAAATGCAAACAACACAACAGTCGCTGAGTACAAAATAAAGTATGTAAGCCAGATAGAGGGATCCGATACAGGAAATGATGGACATATAAAACAATAGATAAACCATGGATATGCTTGAGTAGAAGAACTGACCTGTAATATAGAAATAGATCATAGACTGTCAGCAGAGGGCGGAAATACAGCCCAGGTACCTGTCGTCTTCATAATTCAAACAACCCATTAGCACCGTTTGTAAATTTGAAGATAAAAAGCTGCTGACTATTGGTTGTTTCAATCAAACCCTGGCCTATTGCATAGCTTTGTAAAATTGCTCATCACACAGGTGCACATCTGCATGGAGATACGTTCCATGAGGGGGGAGGGGCACCAGTGCTCAAGTGAAATGAGGCAAATAACTTTGATGTTTTTTAGAATTTACAACACACAAAATTAAACACAGTGCGATATTGGGTTGATAGAGGTGAAATAAGCAACAATTATTTATAATTGAAGCAGACAATAATATTATAATGCTTTATACACATACACGGATTTTAAAATGCTGCTATATGTATGACACACTATTCCATTGTCGGTTTACAAAGGTTTCATCAGTATAAATGTTATTGAAAGACGAATGAGTTAGTTATATACAGACTGAGAATGAGAAATAAACAGTCACAAATAAAACTTACCGATCATAAATTGAAGTGTGTAAAAGACAAGTCCAAGTATACTGTTTGGAAAATTCAAAAAATGGTCTTCACCCAACAACGGACCAATGATACCAAACCCTTTACCATATCTGATGAATAAACAAAACAAAAAATGTAATAGTTACAAAAAAATCCATACTTGGAACAAATCTATAATATAAGCAGAATAAGCACCATCACGTTGAGTATCCCAGCACATGGGCATCGTATTCACAAAATATGCATAGAAATATTTCCAATTTGAGGAGGCTATTAATGAATAAGTGATACTCCGACCACGTGACACCAGTCCCAATACATATGAACCTGTCATTTTGGTTGAAACGGGTAAGCTATGTTCCGTGTTGTTGTTTATTTGGTTAAATCAGTTATATTCACATTACAAGACTATTACAAACAAAATGTAACAAGTAAACAAGTTAATTATAATTAATTCTAAATTGACACATATTAAAGTGTTATATATTTTTAACACATCAATAGAGAATACTTTTAGAAGGTACTCACGGTGACATAAATGCTTTCGTACAACTCATACGGTCATTGAAATCGCACACAGCGGTATAGTTACTGTTTCTTGTCTTGTGTATCTCTACTTTCAAAGCATAGGCTGAAAGAAGGAACCCAATTAAGCAGACGCAGGCATGTTCAAAACCTCCTACCAAGCCATTTGTCGTGACGCCATCAGCTTCCATGTTGTAACAATGCTATGTCGTTCAACAACGAGATAATTATAATACCCAGCAGTTTCCCTGTGCATAGACAACAACAGTGACGTCACACACACATACAAAAAACGAATATTTGTGAGACTCAACAGATGTCATGTAGAAATCGAATATCTAAAACCTTCTCGTCAACTCACAAAACAATCGATATTCACAGAAAATGAACATGGATAGCGTTCAGTTACAAGACAGAATCAGCTGTTGTCATGACAATCACACATTACACGTGTTCGTTTCTCATATAGAACGTCATAAAGTCGTCCATCATAGTTGATCGACATAGTTAACACTGCATGATCAATATCTAATATTGTATAAATGTTTTTGCGGCATGTATGATAAAAATACGTGGTCAGCTCAGGTCATTTCAGACAGGGCCTGGCTAATAATTAATTCAAGTAAAATTTGATACTTGTATACTTGAAATTCTGGTATTCTGATTTTGGGTTATCTTTCTGTCAAACGCGTTATATTTCAAATTCGGTGCATGTTCTACAATGTATTTTGGGACATTACTCACGAGCAAGAAGATTAGGCACGATCTCAGTCCGACGGACAGAATGGGCACGATCTCAGTCCGACGGACCGATTAGACTCGATTTCAGTCCGACGGACAGATTGGGCACGATCTCAGTCCGACGAACCGATTGAGCACGATCTCAGTCCGACGGGCCGATTGGGTACGATCTCAGTCCGTAGAACCGATTGGGCACGATCTCAGTCCGACGAACCGATTGAGCACGGTCTCAGTCCGACGAACCGATTGAGCACGGTCTCAGTCCGACGGGCCGATTGGGTACGATCTCAGTCCGTAGAACCGATTGGGCACGATCTTAGTCCGACGAACCGATTGAGCACGGTTTCAGTCCGACGAACCGATTGAGCACGGTCTCAGTCCGACGGGCCGATTGGGCACGATCTCAGTCCGACGAACTAATTGGGCACGATCTCAGTCTGACGGACCGATAAACGACATGATAATTGTTTGTGTATGTACGCATTCATAACAACAAACAATAATATACAGTCTTTGTTTACCACTCGGGGTAGTGGGGGGGGGTGATATCGAATCCAGGACGTATTTTATTAAGTATCCACCATAGAACTAAGGTCTATGGTATTCACCTGCCTCAGTGTCGACATGACCCCACAACCAGACCCGTTCTGTTTAATTGTAACCCCCTCCGAGTTCTATGGAGATGTTGACTTGAATTGCTAGGTTAAAACTGAATCTAACGTCCGGGCATTTTTTGGCTCAAAACTGGAGTTTTTCGTCAGAAAATCACCCAGATAAATAGATTGGCTCGACATACACAAGCAAAGGGCTTCAGAATAACCTAGACAAATTCAGTACCTATTGTGAGACGTGGAAATTAAATGTAAATATTAATAAGACAAAAATAATCATTTTTAATAAAAGGGGGAAAACTCTTGACAATGTTTTCTATTTTGGTGATCAGGAAATTCAAATAGTACCTTCATATACTTATCTGAGAATTACATTTCAAAGCAGTGGAAATTTCACAATAGCGATAGACTGCTTAGCTAAAAAATCATTACGTGCATTGGGTACACTTACACAAACTTTAAATTTAGGGAATCACACTGTTTCCCCCAAAATGCCATACATCTTTATAAAAGTACAGTGTTACCAATTATCATGTATGGGTCAGAAGTAAGGGGTGCTTTCACTTTTAAACTGTACAAAACAAAATAGTATTATTACTAATGAAGCATTCATTGATAAATTGTGTAGTGACAAAACCCAATTTGAACAGCTTCACATCAAATTCTGTAAGCAGGGTTTGGGTGTACATTAGAAAGCAAGCAATAATAATGCTGTCAGAGCAGAGTTGGGATGCTACCCTATTATTATTGAACTCTGCACACATATGTTGAAATTCTGGAAAAGACTTAAGAATTATAAATGTAATGAATTGGTGTATTCTGCTTTCAACCAAGAAAAAAATAGCACCGGTAATACTTGGACAACATATATTAATAAACTGCTTGAAATTACTGAAACTAGTCTAGCTGGGATTGATATTTCAAATTTTAAAACAATTGTATGTAGAAAATAGTTGGTTGCAAAGTCTACAAAAAGCAGAAAATAACAAATTACGAACATACAACAAAATAAAATTAGCATTCAAATTTGAGCCATACCTGGATCTTATGAAAAATATGAAACATCAAACCAGCTTAACTAGGTTTAAAATTTCAGCTCATTCACTTCCAATTGAAAAGTTGAGATATCAAGGAATACTTCCAGAAGAAAGAATTTGTACATTATGTGATCTAGGGGCTGTTGGCAGTAAAACTCATGCATTCATGGACTGTGAAAATATTGAAATTAAGAATAGTCGTAAAGAATTTTTAAATATGGTTTCAGTTTATGATGAAAAAATTCAAGAATTATCTAAGAATAACTTACTTAAAAAAATTATTTACCTCAAATGATAGTTTCATTGTTAACAGTCTCGGAAAATTTGTTCATCAAATTATAATGTCTAACAATATCGAAATTTTTTGTTGTTCTTATTACTACTAATATTTTATATTTCTTTGCTTACTTATTGTTTTATTTGTTATTGATGTTTGTTACTTGTTATTGTTGTTGTTGCATGTTTATTGACCATAGATAATGTAATTCAATGCATTATTTCGTGCCAAATAAAATATACTATTTTTTATATACATAGTCACATATGTTTATTGTATACATAGCGATGAACTGCCAATCAGGTTTGGTACTTCGCTGACTCAAATTCATATTTTTTAATATTTAAAATTGATGCCATCGTAATGAACATAGTGCAAACTACTGTTATACTAGTATTTATCTCATTTCTAAATTCACCGACAATTACAACGTGTGAACTGGTGAGATGTTTATGTCATATAATCTGCACAATGATTGGGCTAGTTAGATATTACAATCGTTTTAAATCAACTTTGAAATCACACTCATTCAAATCCAAACGTGTCGCCCCCTCGAAAAAAATGTTGCGGCGTCGCCCCTCCAAAATCAACCTGAAACCATTTGTGCCAGCAAAATTTGCCCTCAAAATGCAGGAAATAGCGTTTCAGAGGGTCTAGATTTCAAAATTTTTAAGGGGGAGTATGCTCCTGGATTCCCCTAGCAAGCTGGCGCCTTCGGTGCGAGGGATGATGTGACCACCATGCACCATTTCGTGCCGTCGTCTCTTTACGGGGAATGGATTTGTTGTGCCGATAAAATAATAAAAGGAATGCCGAATTTATAAACTAAATGTATCTATACTGTGCTTTGTTTGAATTTCCGAGGTCCGGCAGACACTTCCGACGAAGAGTACGTCAAACACGCCATAATGCCATATACATAATATGGAGATCAAGCGCAAGACGACAAACTGGAAAGCGACTCACGGTGACTACAATTACACGACAGGGAAATGGACGTTAGTTGGCTGTAACAAACTGATATGTATATAACGCAGGAACAAAGTTTACAAAAAAATATCATCGTTAACTGTCGTGGTTCATACATACCAAGCAAATCCAAAACAGTACGTACTACTGATCCATGAATACAGCTGATCAACCACGTGATCATGACAAATCTGAATAGCCACGCCCACCCACTTTCACACGATGCCTGGAAGTGGTCGGTTAATAAAGTTTATAAATAAATAAACGCTGCTCGGACTGATAAATATGATATATAGAAGATAATATTTGGTAATCGTAGTCCTAAATAACTATTAAAAATAGCTAGACGTTTCGAGCAATGGCTCTTTATCGATAGCATAGAAGAAAGTGTTATAACGTACAGGTAGAACATAGGAACGTAAGAACGCGCATGAACTATAAGTTAGAATCACAAAAAAATCCACAATAGAACAAATAACGCGCCTTAGGTAGTGAGCTCAACAAATGAGTTGAACTGTTTGTTAATACCATGGGGTTCTTTAGTTCCAAGGCGGAATATAGTTTCTTCCTCGACACGCCTGAGCTGATTTTCGTTGCCATTGACAACACATACACCAGAAATAGACATATCTGTAATATTATGTCCACTAGAATTAAAATGAAGTGAAACCGGATAATAACGATTTTTCTGTCTAGTTTGCCGTAGATGTGTGATAGGTATTTTTGATGGTTAAAAACCTTTCACTTAGGTAACCGGGATTCGGTCGTTTCCACGCTAGGCTGACAAAAGACACACACAAGCTTCGTTCATGTTCCCCAAAACGATTCTCTGCCAAGTCCCTGGTTTTCACCCAAGACAGCATTAAATCAATCTTTATTTCTTGTCACCCCTTAACCAATTACAATCAGTATAAGAGACTCCAAGGCCTTGCCTTCAAACAAACAACCAATCACATGAAAGTTTTACACATCATAATCAATTAATTACTCGTCAAGCTGTCTAGAGAAAACATTTCTATACATTGTCAACGCCAACTAATATTGATGGGGTAATAATCTCGCACTAACATTCCACAAAGATACCACCTTAGTTAAAATCGCAAACAACATTGGTTTAGAATTACAGCTACTGTCTTGTATCTTAAAAACTGCAGAGTCATAAGATGTTTTTGGTTGATTTCGACCAGTTCGCCATCTGGTCTTGTCATTAACCTTTATCAGTATATGTCATGGCAACCACTGTCAAACTGACTGAAATATAAATCATGATACAAGCTCAGCAAACCGATCACCAGTCGACGAACTGTAGAACCAATGTAATGTTTCCCGCATTTAATACATGAGATGCAATATACAACATTCATAGTGATACAACTGAACGGATATTTGACCGCAACATCTCCCTTGGGACCAAATATACGATTAGAGTCTGTAATAAAAGGACAAGTATTACACCTAGGACGATTACACGGGACAGAACCATATTTCTCAGGGTCTCCCCTTTCACCCGTATGCACCAATAACCTCCTTAAATTAGTGTCACGGCGCCAGGCAGTAGTAGGCATTAGTGGAAACGTAGAACTTGTCTCCTCGCTGGTCTGTAAAATGTGAAAATGTTTGTACATAATGTTTCTAATCCTGACATTTAAAGGATGGTACGTAAGTGCCAAAATTACACGATCCTGATTGTCACGGGAAACCGTAGATCCAATACAATCCGTTCTTGACATTGACACAACTATCAGGGGTAAAACCTCTCTCTCGGGGTTCTCCACACTGTCAGGGGGGAATCTCGTCTCGTCTCTATATCTCGTCCCCTTGAGGTACGGGATCGGGAATGTCACTTATACTTTTCAGTCAAATAAGACACACACAACGAAATACGTTTCAGCTCTCGTCTTAGTCGGTCAATCGAGCACTCTATAAGACGCGGCGCCCGGGGGAAAAATCCCCAAGACTGTCGCAAGGCTGACTCAAGACTCGCCCAAGACTGGACTGCCTCAAGGCTCGCCCCTGGACTGGACTCTCGACTGGCCTCGACTGCACTCTCTCTCTACTGCGTCTATCGTACTGTGCTCGTCAAGACCAACTCAAACTCTCTTTATTCATTTTCAAAACTCTAACCAATTACAAAACAGTAAAAAGACTCTAAGGCGTAAACTTCAATGATAAAGCCAATCAAACTAAGTACTAAACTAAGTAAATCATCACTTTATTTTTATATGTTCATTTTATATGTTTATTTTATAATGATCTAAAGGCTGATTTATGCAAATACTGACAGTCTGGGCTTACTTCGTCGCTACACAAACTGCCACACCATATATCAACTAGCTCTGTATCTTTTAAAAGTTTTAAAGCGACGAGATAAATATGAATTCAGCTTAACTTAGTACCATATGTTTACATGGATGTTGTATTGTTTTTAAAACGTGATATGCACTTTTCTACCCATTACATTTTGTACGGTGTGGTGAGGCTCTGAACAGAAATAAAATTACATAATTGACTAATACTAAAATGAATAATTGTAGACAGATTTCGACATGAAATTGTGTCACTTTTATGTGCACTAACATCTGTGAAGAGCGAAAAAGCTCGTGAGTAGCATTCTACCTTAAAATACTTGGACAATAATGCTAAGATACGTACAGTCTTGTCTTTTATGTGTACACATTTTGCTGTAATGGATCAAGGGTG